TTTTTTGAAAGCACCCAAGTGAGAAAGTCAGACTAAACAACAACAATGACAACATATATAAGATAGCCCATGACACACCGCAAAAAAGACTTCACAATCCCCTTGGGGGTCCCAAACCAGGTTTTGAAGCCCTGGCATTGATTTACTTCTGGTCTAGAAAATACAAGTTACAAGGACATCATCCGTTCCTTCTCGAGCATTTTAATGTCATTTTATTTGTTGAAAAGAGGGAGACGATGAGAGACACTGGACACTGACCTTCATTTGAGAGGAGGTTTCCTGATTTCCAAAAACCCTTTGCGCCATCCCGTTGTTTTCGTGAGCCAGCCTTTTCAAGAAATCGTAATCCACGTCAAACCCAATCCCGAGGCAGAACAAAGAGATGTCGTCCCTAATATTCTTCTTCACGTTCTTCTGAATCGTAGGCAGCTTGAGTTCTCCTGATAGGAGTGGAAGGGGAGGAGGCAGTCATCGTTAGGGATGAGCACGAACCAAACCACAAACTGGGGGGGGGGGGGGTACACACAACACGAATTGGACTGATTTGTGGTTCGATTTGGGCATCCTTTTTTATAAAACTAACTTTTCCCCCTACAGAAGCAGCAGGCCCGCCTGCCCGGGGGGGGGGGAGGTACACACAACACGAATTGGACTGATTTGTGGTTCGATTTGGGCATCCTTTTTTTATATAAAACTGACTTCCCTAACCCCTACAGAAGCAGCAGGCCCGCCTGCTCATGCACACAGGCAGCAGTTGTGGCTTCAAGGAGCCAGGCCAGCTGCTTCTGTGCATGCGCCCACCCATCAACTGAGTGGTGGGTGCATGCGCACTGGCAGCAGGCCCAGCTTCTGTGCAAGGAGGCCACGGTGGGGGGCAGGGGAGCAAGGTGGTTCCCCCCTGCGCACATGAACCCAAAAAGCAAACTGTGAACGGTTTGTTTTTCGGTGTGAGTGTATGTGTGTTTCTGAAAGTTCGTGGGTAACCACGAACCCTCACGAACTCTCGGTGTTCTGATTCGTGTCCATCTCTAGTCATGATCCTTCCAAGATTATGATTCCACTCAATTTGGGGAAGGAAGGGAAATAGAAACATAACAAGCAATCAAGACGGTTGGGGGAGGACAGTTAATTTTCAGCGATTTCTCTCCTCTTCGGCTTTAAGGAAGCAACAGGAAAACCTGAGTTCGAAATTCTTACCGACCGTCGGGTCTCCATCGGACACCAGCACAATCATGGATACCGAGTTGGGATCCAACATTCCCAGCTTGTTCGCTTCGTTTAAGATGAAGATTGCTCGGAGGAGAGCGTCATTAATGTTTGTCCCTGTTCAAAGCCAGAAAGGGAAGCCCGTGAGGTACGTGGTTGAATCAGGGACAGGGGCACAAATCCTGTTGCGCTAAAGGCTTAACTTTCGGAAGTGGGTTGATGTAACCAATCTCCGCAGGCATTATCTGTTGGACTCCAATTCCCATCATGCTTAGCCAACACAGGAGTCAGTGAAAGGGAAGGGAATTGTTGTCCAAGAGCATCTGGCGAGTCTCGTGTTCACCACCCCTAATGTGAAATAACAACAAAGAAGAGATTGCTTCTGAGCATGTGCAGAGTTCCTGTATTCCCTATACATGGCTTCTGATGAAACACAGTTTTATTTATTTATTTATTTATTTATTTACAATATTTTTTAGCCGCACCATTGCCAGTGGCTTCTGTTTTGCAGTTTTGCAGATGCCCTGTAGTTGTAGGTGCAATCCTGACTCCAGATTTAACAAATATCTACTAGATTAGTGGTTTCCTACCTTTCTGAGAGTTCTAGTCCAAGAACATCTGGGGACCCAAGGTTGGGAACCACTGTAATAGATTATCACTCATTGCTGTTGGAGGTGTTGTGTTTTTTTAACAACCTCGCATGCTTCCTGTCGTTTATTTGACTGGGAGGGACTTTTCCGGGCTTGGATGACTGCCAATCTATCTAGCAGTGACCAATCATCCATCCTGCTTCTGAATTTAAAGAGAGCCCCACCTCTCTGCTAAGTGTTCTCTTTCCCTCCCTTTCGTCTGTTGAAGTCAGTTTATTAGTTTGCTGTTGATCTGTTCACAATCGTAAGTAATGGAACATTTCTATTCTTTGTCTTACAAATGTCTCAAAGTGAGTTATTCAGTTATTTCATCGAACTGTTTTTTGTAAGAAGCTCACCTCCATTGGGATGGATCCCTTCAATGTATTTCTTGGCGGCTTCTGTCTGCAACTTGGAGGCTTGCACTAAACTGTCTCTCCAGCACCGGACATTATGGTTGAAGTCCAGGACTGAGAACTGGTCATCAGAACGGAGGTCCTCCAGGATGGTTTTCATGGCTTCAACAGTCTGAAAAGTAAGCCTTTGTGGTCACGTACCTAGCAATCCTTTTCCATTCTGCATAAATATCGTACATTCAGTTTAGCTGGAAGGGACCTCAAAGGTCATCTAGTCCAACCCACTCTCGATGCTTGAATCTGAACATGCAGGAACATGTCACAAATACTACAAGGATCAACATGAAAGAGCAGGAGATGGGCACCAATTTTATCCAGATGTTCACCTTGGTTTTCAACAGAACTTGGAACTAACAAGTTACATACAACTAGTGACATGTGATCAACTCCTTTATAATGATAATATAAATAATAACCTCTGGTCCCACAGTCAGATGTCTCAACCACTGATCTATCCAGTCAGCCTTCAACCAACCCGCCTCCACCATTTGCTTTCCATGCACAGTGGCCCTCATAGGATTTTGGAGGTGTGCAAAACATGCAGGAACCAGTTTTACCTGGTGCAGCCTTCCACTGAATTTCCATGAAGGAGTGGGGATTTGAACCCAGCTCTCCTGGGTCCTAATTCAATACTCTCTCCAGTGTGTTCAGAATTGCAGCCTGGAAGCATGCATGGTAGCCTAAGGGGTTTCGGTGCCTACATATATTAATTCACCAATATGGAGCCACCTCGCTGGAATGTGTTTATATTTCAGGGATACAGGTATGCGGATACGGTATCAGCTACCCCGATGTTGATCCTTATGGAATCTCATAACCTGCTGATGCCTTAGACAGCCGCTTTCCCCTTCTATTAAAACCCTTTTAGAGGCAAGGATGTATAAACAAGACATAACGGTTATTAATCTCCTCTGCCTTAAGGCTGCAGCCCACTGAGTAGATGCTGCTCCCTTGAATAAGAGCAGGACCTCAGTTCCTGAGACATGCGGTGCTTGATTTTATTCCACCCCCCCCACACACAATTCATTTAAACCCGTCAAACAAAATGGAAACCAGTCTGTAAAAGTCTGTCACGGAAAGAGTTGAAATTCCATCCAGCCCCCATATTGTTGCAGGATAAGCAGAACATAAACAGACCGTGCTTTTGAAGGAAAAGTTCTACAACTATTTCTTACACAATTTCCAAAGAGGTTGCCACGTTTGTGTGTTTCCGCATGTGGACAAAAGGAATTGGGAAAAAGGGAATGAGGTGGATGAAATAAGGCAACACCTTAAAAGATTAATAGATTTGTTTCAGTGGCCAAGATCCTGTTGCTTGAGGCCATCCACTGCAGAAGAGCAGACCCCCTGAATCAACTCCTCCACAAGATCCATTGATTTAAATAGGCCTCCTCCAACTGTGATTTCCTCAGCATAGTAAGTCACAGCTAGAGTAGGCCTATGTGTCTCAATGGACATACAGAGGAGCTGACTCTGCAAATCCCCATTGATTCAAAGGGTCTATTTTACTGCAATTTACACTAAGCAACAGGATTGGACCGGTGTATGCTCCTGCGGATCCACTAGTGCTGGTCTTCGACCGTAATAAAGCAAATTAATTCGTTCTGTGGATCCACTTCCACAGACCAATTCAGGAGAGCTGAGTTCAAATCCCTGAAGGGGATTTTGATCCCCAAAAGCTCATAATGAAAAAAAAAACCACATGAGTCTTTAATAACAATAACGGCATGCTGTCAAGTCAATTCTGAGTTATGGTGACCCTTTTCAGGGTTTTCCAGGTCGTGAGTAAAGTGGTTTACCATTTTCTTCTGGGGCCGCCCCTGAGACTCTGCAGCTTGGGATCAAGGGGAATTGGGACCAAGGCCACCCAGGCTGGCTTTTCTCCCAGGAGGCACAGAGGGGGGATCGAACTCCCAACCTTTGGCTTTACAGACAGAGACCTAAACCACTGAGCTATCCAGCTATCTAGAAGTCTTTAAAGCACCACAAAATTTTGTCCTTAGCTTCTCTCTCTCTCCCCCCCCCTTTACAGATGTTTTTAAAACCTTCTTTTAGATGAGTTCTAGGCAGAGACCGCATCTGAGGCTCCTGCTTGGTCTCACAGCACCAGCTGAGATTCTTGGGAATTTCTGAGCTGCTCTGAGTCTCTAGGATGGGAAACAAATCTCACAGTGTGCCGTGAGGGAGGAGGAAATGGCTTTTAAACTCGAGATGCTCATCTCCGCCCGTGCCCCCATGGGCCCATTTATCCATCCCAAAGAGCAATGTTGTCCATATTTTCATAGACCCTAGGAAACCCGTGATCAGGAAGAACATAGGTGGATTTCTGACCCCAAACCCCAACATGGTTTAAAACAGCAACGACCCCAAGCAGGCTGGCACCCGAAGAAAGCTTGCCTTCCGTGACTGGTTTCATTTCTGGAAACCATGAGGGAAAAATCCCAGGCCACGCCTCTAAAGATGGTGGGGGGCCCTCCGCCATTAGATGGTGTTTACACAGAAGTTGGGTGGCCAGCTGCCAGGGCTGCTTTAGAAATGGATTTCCTGCTTCACTGGGGGGTTAGACTAAATGACCTTTAGGGTTCCGGCCAGCTGCCCAGTCTTATGGGTCTGTGATCCCATGCCTGTTTACCTGCTTCATTTTCAGTCCCCACATTGAGCCACTGACATCGATGACAAAAAGAATGTTTTTTGGCAGGGGGTCCATATTTTCAGGAGCAAAGTAGTGGATGAAGTAGCCATTAAAGATCTGCAAAATTGGAGCAGGAACAAGGTAACTGTACCAACAAAGAAGTATTCATGGAACCTATATTCTTCCTGTTTCCTGCCTATGCAATGAACTACAGTACTTTCCAGATAGGGTCATTATCAACTCCCTTCTTGGTCCATTGAGCCTTGTATTGATAATTCTTGCTCACAACAGGATGATGACCCTTCCTGTAGTCTGCTGCCAGTTAGTAGCCTGTTGGAAACAGTCAGAGAGTCTGTTGAAGTCTGTTGCAGAAAGCAAACATGTTTGTCAGTTTGCTGTTTGATCTGTTGAACTGTAAGTAACGAAAACCTTTTATACTAATGTCTCAGAATGAGACTGTAAGTGCCAGTTAATGACAAAACAGGGTGGATGACTCTGGAGAACCTGGGAGTTTATTCTGCTCTGTGTGTATCCTTGCATGCCTGCTGTGTAGCTAGAGGAATTTAACTCGCACCATTCGAAAGTCTGCTACAGCCCCATCCTGCTTCGCTTCCAACATCAGATAGGTTACGTGTGTTCCAAAGAGGATGGTGGTCCTTCCCCAGGACTCAATACTAAGCATAGCTTTGCCTTGTTTCTTGCGTTTGTATCCCAGATTCCATCTCCCAACTCCTACTCCCCCCCGCTAGACTTACCTCCAGCTCGCCAGGTTTGCTATCTCTCTTGACATCATAGTTCACCACAAAGTTGCCGTCGACAGCCGTAGAGGAGCAGGTGGGACACTTCCGTTGCTGGGCCACCGTTGGTTTGAACGACACATGAGCCTCAAAAGGACAAGGAAACAAGGAAGCGCAAGTGAACTATCTTCCAAAGCTGTGTTTCTCTCTCTCCCTCGCCCCCCAAAATTGCAAATATACCAGCCATCACTGAAATACAACAGTTGTGTTTGCCAGGCAGCCCTGCGTCGTGTGAACCCATAATTTTCACAGGCTTATTTTTTAAATCTATGTATGTGTTGATTTAAATGTTGTTTGTCTGTCTGTCTGTCATCATCCTGCTTTTTAACTCTTGTTTCCAAGCTGGTAGAACGCAGTGTATTTCAAGCAGTCAACGACTGGGATGGGTCCAGCAATCAATGATTTCTTGAATGGTGCTTTTAAAGCAAAGTGAAACACAGTGTGCTGCTGATAGACCTCCCCCATAGTGCATAAAACACTCTCTGGGTAGCTGGCAATTTAATTATGCAGACCACACATTGTTCTTCCCCAGCAAACTGGATACTTTAAAAAAGTCAATAATAGATAGAAGAGTGTTTGGGATGGAAGATGAGGTTCAAGCCTTTAACCCTTCACCTCCCACACACATACAGCCTGTGGGTCCACTCTGGATTGGGCCATATGCCCTGGATAGTTGCACTGGCGAGAAGCCTCCCAGGTACACCAATGGAATACTCCCCCACTCCATGCCATGATACACAAGGGAGCATCCTTAGAGGACTTAAACCCTGCCCAGGCCCTTTCTGCCTCCTCCCACAAATTTGTTCTAATTAGAGTGTCTTGTTCCCTAAAAGGAGCCTCATACTGCCGTGGTTAAACTGCAGTGCTGCAGTGAAGACTCTGCTCATGATTTGCGTTTGATCCCAACAGGCTCAGGTAGCCGGCTCAAGGTTGACTCAGCCTTTCATCCTTCTAAGGTTGATAAACTGAGTACCCAGCTTGCTGTGAGAAGGGGGGACAAGGTATAGCTTGCATAATTAAGTTGTAAACAGCTCAGAGAGTACAGTAAACACCAGGGGGTGCTAAATAAACAGCACACTTTGCTTTTTCCCTTTAAGACCAGAGGTTCCAGATCGAGACTCACCCCCAGCTCAAACTACCCATATTTTTCCATGTATATGACTATACTTTTGTCTAAAATCTTTAGACTAAAAATTGAGGGTTGTTTTATACACGGAAGTAAGTTGAGGAAAGAACAAAAACAAGTGGAGGGGAATGCAGGGATCAAAGCGATCCTGCAGCACTTTGACCCCTTTCCCCCTACATTTGCTAAGTCCCACTTAGATTTCTTAATTTTGGGTTAGAAAAGTGGGGGGTGTCTTATACATGGGGATGTCTTATACACAGAAAAATATGGTAAACCATGCCAGCGATTGCTCAAAATGAGATGATTGCAAAACAGCTTCTCCCATAAGGCGGACAGCTTTGGCCCCTCCTTACCTTTTTCTCTCCTTTGGAAATGGTAGGAATCCCTGCGAAGTGCTCGCCGAGTGCATTGGGAACATGAACGAAACTAAGCCCCTGGGGTTCAATGATATGGACGTCCACCTGTAAGGCACGGCAAGCAGAGGGGAGACCATCAATCAGTCTACAGGAGAGTCACGGCGATCTCTCTCTGGCTGTGCAACGGACAATTGCTGAACCCCGTTCCTCAAAGAAGTGTGCTTCTCAAACTGGTCCTCCAGGTGTCTGAATCTTCAGCCCTCACGGTCTCTGAACGCTGGTCAGGTAAGCTGGGAGTCTGGACGAACAGGGGTTCAAGTTCTGGGATGCGGTCAAGTCGAACTTAAGCCACACCAGCGACTCAACCTGGACTCAACTCAAGTTTTTTTCTTTCTTTTTTTCAATGACTCAGACTGAATTCGTGATTCGGAACGCACCCACCCCTCTCTTTCTTCCGGAGGGGGGTGGAATTGTTTTTAATAAAGACCTCGGTCATAGGACTGGGGGCCAAAAACACAGAATGAATGAATGAATGAATGAATGAATGAATGAATGAATGAATGAATGAATGAATGAATAAATAAATAAATAAATAAATAAATAACTTGTTCCCATCCATTTGAGGCCTTTTAAGTTCAGAAACAAACTGGAAGATAGTGAAGCTGGTTTAATCCTGATGTATCTAGAAATGTATGCATGATACATTGCATTATTTAATACCGTTTTTAAATGGCCACCAGCTGAAGTTCTCTGCCCAGTTCTGGGCTGCCATGTTTGGCCCTAGCTGTAGTTTAGTGGCATTTTTAAGGGCACATTTGCTCCTCTGACACCATTGCACCCCACAACTCCTCAAATTACTCTGCCCGAGCTGGTCCAATTACACCCCTTAAAGAAAGCACGTTGTTCCGTTGCCCACCATGCGATTTCTTATTCCCACTCACTTCGAAGTGCTTGGCCAGCCGGCCAGGCTGCACGGGGATAATGTGCTCGTATGTTGACAATTTCCTCCGGATCGGCTCTTGGTAATGGATTTCAAACTGGACTTTGGTGCCTCCCGGGACATTGAGTTCAGCTTTGAAGTTCTCCATGTCGAGAGCGTTGCTCCTGCATTCGTTAGGGAACAAGCAAACAACAACACCTTGATTTGCCACCCAAATATAAGGCAGGTCCCAGGGGATCCCTTAGCATGCAAGGAAAGGCAGAGGTCTTTTTTTTCCACTTATGGAGGAGCAAAAAATAAATAAATAAACATAAGTGGAGAAGTTCAACTTTCTCAGAAGTATATCCTGATGGGTCAAAACAGTGTATTTGTTAGACATGATTAAATACAAAGGGACTCCCTTTATCCGTAAGATCAGTATCTGCTGATTCCCTTATCCAAAGTCTAAAAATACTTAAAATGGTAAAAGAAAAATCCTAGAAATATATGTTTCTAAACATGAAGTTGCCAGAACTGGCCATTTAGAGGGAGCCACCGTCCATGTTATGTATGTTGTTGTTGTTTAGTCGTGTCCGACTCTTTGTGACCCCATGGACCAGAGCACGCCAGGCCCTCCTGTCTTCCACTGCCTCCTGGCGTTGGGCCAGATTCACATTGGTCGCTTCAATGACACTGT